AGCAACTGATGCAATCCCAAGAGAGGAAAGCTGTGGATAACACTCCCGGTTTATCTCCTGCCGCCTTTGAGTTGTCAGAAAAGTGCGAACAGAAGTATATGCAAGTAACTTCATTTTGCTGCTAGTGTGGCGTTGTGGTTAATGCTGAATGGAAACTGTCTCAGTTTCCTCTTTCTCAAACTTAAGTCTATGGTCTTCATTTGATCTGTAGGATACGGTGGGGGAGAGGGAAGAAAGATACCAGATCAGTAATCAGGAAGAGTAAACCGGTTGCCAGTCATGAATTTGCTATGCAGGAATCTGGTCTTCATCTGAAATATTTATAGGACATTTGCAAACAGAAGAGTTTTGTAAAAGCAAAACAAGAGACTGCATTGCCTTCTGGAGCATTGATGTTGTCCATGCTAAGTTTCTGAGGCGTTTAGCCGGAGCACCACCAGTTCTAATTCTGCATTCATTGTGTTGCATCTCTAAGATATCCTTTCGTTCTGGATCCATATTCAGCGTTTAGCTGTGACTGTAATTTGCTTCCTAATTTTAACTTTATTTACTGTTGAGTATTAGGGGGAAGATGCTTAGATGTTAGCTCAATAATTTTTTATCATTCTGGTTCATATAGTGTATTTGACTTTTACAACAGTAGTCCTGGATTTTACAGTAAGAATACTTGTGGTTTTAAATATTTTCTTACTGTTCTTATTGCCTGCTTGCAAGAATTTGCTTGAGAATCTCAGGAACAGAGGAGAATGGAGAGCTTGGAAACCTGGAATTAATGTTTTTTTTCTGTAGTACTGTCTTAAGTTAGATTTGCAACTTCTCCACACCTCACTATCCTTTTTATTTCTGAAGGGTACCTCTCATCCCTATTCCATTATTTTTTTTCAAAACTGTCACTGTCCTCATGAACCACTATGAACAGATACACAACCAGCTAAGATGTGGGAAGAGACATTTAAAAAATATACGGACTTTGACATCTAGGCAGAATTAAAGTGCAATTTTATGAGGTAAACAGAATGTAAATGATCTGATTTTCTTGATTGCTGACTAAATTTAAGACAGATATTAAAAAAAAAAACCAAAAAAACAACCCAAACCATAAAATGGATCCATTCTGATCTGTAATGGGTTACTGTGTATTGACACATCAGTGTGTTTTAGCTGTAGAATCCATCATTATTTGTTTGCCATAATAAATGGAAATCAGGACCATTGTGTTATCTTTGGCCTCAGACTTATGAAATCTATTGTGAAACTGGAAACTTTTACTTTGAGCTAAATTATCAGTAAGTCTTTGTTTATAGTTATTGGACCTTCTGTAGCAATATTAGTGAGTTAAACTTTGTATATGGTTAAGAAATGGGTCTGATTTAATCCTGTGCCATTTTACACAATGAAGTTATTAATTATTTCTTCCAAACTCGTGTGAAGAGGAGGAGTCTTTTTTATTCATCTTGTTTATACAGAGCAGATCAGAGGTCTGTCATGATCAAGCACTGGCTGTTCTCTGTTTTTGTGCTTGTGCTATAAAACCAAGTAATAAGAGTTAAGGATTATTTGTCTAAAAGTCAGGGCCATGAGCAACACAGTCCTAGCGTGAATGATAGTACCAGCTTAGATTGGGGAAACAAGGGAAGGTTTTGGAAGCAGATAGAGCAGAGCCTCTCAAGAAATAGTTTTAATGTTAGCTGCTTAAATTATTTAATCTTCCTCTAAAAGCAGTTCCTTCAGTACTTTGAAGGTGTGCCTTTAGACACTGGTAGCATAGACTAAGCAGAAGGTAGACTGCACGGAGTAGTTTATGTAAGTGTTTTAGTGCTTGCTGCTTTATTCCTGAGATAGATAACATGGTTATTTAACAATAACCGTGCTCTGTTTTCTGTATTTCTCTGCTGTTTTGGTCATATTGCTAACAGCGGTTGCATTATTTTAACTAGCACACCACACTGACTTGCAGTGCAAAATTGGTGATGCTTTAATAATGCTTTCAGCCAGTGATTAAAGATGAAGAATTTCTTTTGTAGCTGAGGTTGGATTTTCCTATTTATTGATGAGTTATTAGGAAGGAGGGAGACAAAAACCTGTAAAACTGACTTTATTGTTGCTTTTATGATATTTTCAACCCTCATAGAAAAAACAAAACAAAACAAAACAAAACCAGCATTAAAATGTCAAAAGGCATAAGTATGGAAGCTTTTATTTAGAAGCATGCTTGTCCTAGTCACAGTGCTTCATGGTGGGGGAAGGAACCCCTTGTTTTTTGGCGTGGTGTGCGGTATGATCTTTCATCCAGTAAGTGATAAACTTGAAAATTAGATTAAAGAGCTTGGGGCTGGATTTAAAGACGGAGGGAGAGATTTTTATGTGCTCGGGTTGCTCTGAGAACAAGTCTTGAAGGCTTTGTTGAGGGAGAGGGGGATGTGTATATGCAGGGAGCGTGTTTTCCCTGTAAGTCAAATCTGGAATATCTCCTAGTTGCAGTTCACACTGCACTGTATTGGGCACTGCAAGTTCAGTTGTGTTCTTGTCATTTTGTAAAGAATAACAGGCTCACTAAGAATCGGGGAGGAAGAAGTAAAAGTCTGTGAAACTGCATACTTGCCAAATTTGGAAGTATGCACATTTTCCAAGCTTTAAGTTTAGCTGTAGTAATTGAGTTGTTAACATGACTCTTTCAAATTGAACTAGAAAGAATTGTGGGGAAAACTTGGTTTTTGTTTCACAATTATGTTAGTTCTTTTCTGTGGAGATCTGGAGGAAGTAATCCATAGCTGTTGAAAAGCATTTTAAACTGCAGATGCCCTTAAGGTATTAGGATGTGCTTTTATAAAATACTTTATAAACGCTTTCTTACAATGTAACAACTGTAACTTTTCTGTGGTGCTTCTGAAATCTTTTTTCCTCATGCAGAGGTCTTGCAGATAGCCCTTCTGCAGGGTTTTTAGATGAAGGATTTTGTATAGCTGTGTTTACTTAGAGAAGCTGTTATTTAGGCGAGCTACTTATCCTTGGGTTACATTTGTACAAAATTGTGTGCAGTCCTATTAAGTCAGGTGATGGGCTGGTTTTGCCTCTTTTTTTTTAATGGAGTAGGTATGTTGAGGGCTGTAGAACTGACAGGTTTTTTCTTGCTATAATGAAACGAATATTTTAATAGAAATGTTTAGACTTCCTAATATTAACTGTTGCTCTAATTTTAGGTAAACATTACCAAATGAGGAGAAAAGGAAGATGTCATCGAGTATCGTCAGCAAGGCATTCTTCTTCCCCATGCAGTATTAAACACTCCCCCACTCGAGAGACCTTGACATACGCTCAAGCTCAAAGAATGGTTGAAATAGAAATTGAAGGTCGCCTGCATCGGATCAGTATCTTTGATCCTTTAGAGATTATATTAGAAGATGATCTTACAGCCCAGGAAATGAGTGAATGCAACAGCAATAAAGAAAATAGTGAAAGACCTCCAGTCTGTCTGAGAAGCAAGCGGCATAAAAATAACAAAGTGAAAAAGAAATTTCCGAGCTCACATGGTATACCTGCTACGACAGCTCCTCTTCCAGAACCCAAAGTACGGATTGTTGAGTACAGTCCCCCTTCAGCTCCTCGGAGACCTCCGGTGTATTACAAATTCGTTGAGAAGTCAGCAGAAGAGCTTGATAACGAGGTGGAGTATGACATGGATGAAGAAGATTACGCGTGGTTAGAGATCATCAACGAGAAGCGGAAAAGCGACGGGGTGTCGGTCGTGTCGCAAAACATGTTTGAGTTCCTTATGGATAGGTTTGAAAAGGAGTCTTATTGTGAGAACCAAAAACAGGGTGACCACCAGTCTTTGATCGATGAAGATGCGGTGTGTTGTATATGCATGGATGGCGAATGCCAGAACAGCAACGTCATCCTCTTCTGCGATATGTGTAACTTAGCTGTCCACCAGGAATGCTACGGGGTGCCATATATACCTGAGGGCCAGTGGCTCTGCAGGCACTGCCTGCAGTCCCGCTCACGGCCCGTAGACTGTGTCCTGTGCCCAAACAAGGGAGGTGCCTTCAAAAAGACTGACGACGATCGTTGGGGACACGTTGTTTGTGCTTTGTGGATTCCAGAAGTTGGATTTGCCAATACTGTTTTTATTGAGCCAATTGACGGTGTCAGGAACATTCCCCCAGCCAGATGGAAGTTAACGTGCTACCTCTGTAAACAGAAAGGTGTTGGTGCCTGCATCCAGTGCCACAAAGCAAACTGCTATACTGCATTCCACGTGACGTGTGCTCAAAAAGCTGGTCTGTACATGAAAATGGAACCTGTGAAAGAACTAACTGGCAGTGGGACGACGTTCTCTGTAAAAAAGACTGCCTACTGCGATGTACATACTCCACCGGGTTGCACGCGGAGACCTCTCAATATTTATGGAGAAGCTGAAATCAAAAACGGTGTTTGTAGAAAGGAGGGATCAGTCAGAACTGCTAGGTCTACATCAAAAGTCAGAAAAAAGACCAAAAAAGCCAAGAAAACGGTGGTTGAACCCTGTACAGTTATGCCAACGGTATCTGCTCCTTATATCCCCCCCCAGAGGTAAGCAAACCAGCCAAGTGAGAGAAACCTTTACTTAATCATTAATTTCTAATTTTAAACCAATGCTTTTAGGTGCCAATTTGAAGTTTTTCTGCATTTCTCATTTGCTTTCCTTAAAGGCCGAACTCGGGATATTAACATAAATTATGGATGTTGAACTTTGTGAAATCGCATTAAAAATGCAGCAGCTTCCCCAGAAAAAATTATAAGTGGTCAAGTGGTCTGTCTTGTCCTCAGAATCATCTTTTTTTTTGTCAGACCAAGTCTTGTTTTGTGTTTGGTTTTTGTCATTCGCTGTACTTTTGAGAACTAACCACTGGATTCACAATAGCCTTTGTAGTTGACCTTCATATTGGAGAAGAAAAAATAAAAGACAGGGTTTACTGTACTTATTTTTTGAGAATCTGAACTTCTTTTTCTAATTTTAAGAGCCATGAAAATAAAACTACATTTACATATATAAGGTTTGGATCTTGTTCAGCTCCCCTAAATGAAGTATAAACTTGCACTGTAAGATCTATGTAAGTAGTACAGAAAAAAAACCCTCTGGGAAGCATTTTCATTGTAGGGCAGAGCCTTTTTTGAGGAGGTTTTTCTGAAATTTCTATTTTTTCTTTTACATGTGCAATAATATTTATCAAGGCTTGAATGAATTTCATCTTTTGCAGAGGCTTTTTTTAGAAAAGCTAGCAAGTAAGTGAGGTTAAGTTAGTTGGGTAATGTATTCTTAGTCATGGGTCCTGATAGGTGTGCCCTCTTGTTCAACATGCCATCAAATATCTCTGCCCTATAACTTCAGTGAAATATTTATATTTGAACACAAAAATTAATGCACGTTACAAAGTTTTCATACTACTCTTGTCTTTGCTTACAGGTTTATACTTTGTAAGAAGTTCTGTTCAAACTGATTTTTACATCACTGTGTCTTCTGCAGTTCTGCAGGAGCTTTTTTTCTGTGAGTGCCAATACGAGGCAGGAACACCAGGACTGAAGTTGCTCTTTACTCCCTTTTCTCTTTTGGCCATAGTGATGGGGTGGCTGGGAGATGGCTTTAGCTCTGGTGACGCTGGTGAAGTGGTGCATCAGGAAGCAGGGATGTTTCAAGTGTTGTTCTTCTAAGTGACAACAGAAATTGAGCAAAATTAAGACTTGTAGTGTCTTTGTTTTGAGAGTTAAAAAATTCAGCATGAACTTCGGTTTGTTTGGCTGTATTTTAATCTAAAAGAACAGTGGCATCTCTTTTCAGATTTTTTTTCAGTTAATCTGAGTGATGCATTTCAACACTGCAAATAATTTTGTTTCTGGGATTTGAAGTGCTATGGTAGAAAGATTTTTGTTTTCTTGGATGTTTAAGACCTAGTATACTGGGCTGAGAAATGCAAAAGTGGACTATTAGGACTAAAACCAAGTTTGTCTTTATGATGGAGTATTTGTTTTATTTCTAGCATTTATAACAAAAATGTGTGTTTACCCCTTGAATGAATTTCTTACTGATGTAAGAACAGTAATATGGAAAGTTTCTCAAAACAGGCAGCACTTCCATATACAAGTTCATTGGACTGTGACAGGACTCTTGAGATAACACAAATAAACTATGCTTTTTTGAAAGCTGACTCCCAGGTCTCAGGTAGTGGACAATAAAGGCTGATCAAATCAATATAAATAAATAGATGTTTTGAGACTGCAGTCCTTTCCCCTAATGAGTATTGTTAATAGAAGTAGCTACTTATTGACTAACTTTGACAAACAGCCTTTAGCTCCTGCCCAGTGTTCACAAATATCAGACTGATTGCACTGTTCTCTGTTTATGGCATACTTGGTAAAATGGGATTTTTGTTTAGCAATACATGGCAGAGCAGCTTAAATTGGCAGTAAGAAACTAATACTGTCATTTACAGGTAACATCGTTCATGGGAGAGGGGAGTTTGTGTAAAATAATCTGGCTTTGTCCTAATTAGGACAATCTTGTTTGATGGTGTAGCATGTTTGTGCTTTGTTTATCTAAGACAAAGTTAAAACAAAAAACACAAAGCTAAGGAGGAGTTGAAGATTAGAATGTATGGTCTCAGTTGTACCTCTGGCAGTTCTTTTCATCAGTAACTTTCATAAACACCAGACTCTAAAGGATGTTATACTCAGATATTTATTGTTTTAACTGTGTGTCATTAGATGCCAGGAACAGAAATATAAAGATGTATGTCAGCAGTGTAAAAAATGGGCAGTTTAAAACTGTTTTAAAGTTAAGCTGTGTTATAAGTTGCTTGTCTTCAGCTGAAAGAGTCTCTTGCTTAAATATTTGTGATGTGAATGTGCTTAGATCCAGAAAACATTGATAAGTGAATTAAAAGCAAAGCAGAAATGGCCTTATTAAAAGGAAAAGTGATTATGCTTTGGACCCAGATCTCAGTTGTTTTAATTTTATTTGGCTATTCCTTTTTCTTGTTTCTTTTTTTCTTTTTTCTTTCCTCTAGAAGAACTTGTGGTATGAATTAAATGCATACCCATAAACTAATAGTGAATGCTGTGGATCATTTTGCAACAGGTTTAATTTGAATGATCCCTTTTCTCTGATCTGTTTTTTTAATACATGTTATTTCTCTTGGAGCTGAAACATGACTTGCCTTTCCAGAGATCTCAAGGAAGGGCAATTAAGCTATATTTAAATTACCAGAGGTCAATGTTTAAACAGTAGTGCTTTTTCCATAAAGAAAATTATTTTTTCAGAAAGAATTTGAAATGAATGTGTTTTCACCATCTCTGGAAACTGAGGCACAGGTGGAGATGTCTGGTTTATTTTTGTGATCATTAATAACTAGACTATATGTGTCCTTGGCATATAGTTGGTTCTTCAGAGTGGGTAACTGGAAAAGTATAGAAATATGAAGATTATAGTGAGGAGGAGAATACTTGGTGGATGTAGTCCTCAGGGACAGCTCACCTGCTGAAGCTTGAGCAAAACCATCTTGCCACTTAGGTTTAATTTGAGGTGGAGAGACTGTATGCTGTTCCTTTCCTCAAATGCATATGAAAGACTGGGCATTTTAATAATGTCATTTGTAGTCTGCTTTCCAGAACACCTATCTTAATGTTCAGGTTATAGTAAAAAGATCTGTGTAGAGCAACGTAGTTGATAATTTTTACACAGCTCCTGTTGCTGATGGATTTCTGTATCAGCTTCTCTGTGGGTCAGGTTTCTGTGCTGCTGCCCTGCGTGGTCGTGAGAGCTGTACACTTTTCAGTTACATGGATGGCATACTCTTGAGCTTTTTGCTGTTAAGTTACAAAGACAGTGTCATTTCTGTAGTTCATCTATAGTCTCATTATAGGGCCTCTTAGACTGTTACCTGTGAACTACTGCTTTAAGAGTGTAGGATCAGAAGTGTTTAACCATTGATAATCGTGTTGATGACTTCATGACAAGTGCTTGCTTCCCATCTCTGGGTATCTCTCTGTCCTGCTGCCTAGGTATTTAAGAAAGTCTATACCTAAGTATCCACTTCCAAAGGTGCACTAGGTCATCTTGGAACCTTAAGGTGACTTCAGTTTTTAGTGCTGTCATTGCTGACTTCTTAGTAACTTCCTTAGCACTTGGAATATAATATCTGGGACCACTGGAGAACCTCTTCTGCATATATGATTTGCATCAGGGCTTCTGGCCACAGAAGTATGACACCTCTTCACTAAGAAATTCCATTCAATTTTTCTTGAAATGTAAAACCATTAGAGATTGTTTATGTTGGACTGCCTGCATGCATCATGTAGTTTTTACACAAAGGAAAAAAAAAAGGCAGGAATGATCTTAGTCTGGAAGTCCCGTGTCAGAGCAGCCGTGTTACAGGAGGGGGGGAGGTCACTCAGACTGCACCTCTGCACAGCAGGGATGGGCAGCACCACCATCTGTGGGCAAATGGGCATCAGAAAGGTGGCCTCCTGCAACCACCAGCTAGTTCATCTGAAGACAGTGGTGAATCTGTTCTTGCAGTGTTCTTGCTCCACAGATTGCGTGGCAATTGAATTTTACACTGCAGGTCCAGACTTTACAGGTTAGGATTTCCTAAATTTTGGGGCTGACTTGCAAATCTAAATCTCCTTGTCTGTTAGTTATCTTCTGCTGGCTCTGTGCTCCATTTCTTGTGGATTTTTTTTTGTTTGTTTTGCTCATCCTTGTCCTTTGTAACAGCTGCCTTATCCACTGAGTAGGATGGATGCACAAAGGAGAAGAGTTGCAGTGGTAGCTGTGATACTGTTTGGTTTCTCTTATTTTTGAGTGCTTGATCCTTTAATACAAATACAATTGTTTTGGTGTAGTCTCTTGATCTTGTGTGTTGAAAGAGGCATTTAAAGTGTATTTGCTTGATGAAAAGCAAAGCCAGTGTCTGTATTCATGTTCTTTACAAATGTTGTGAAACTAAGGTATTGCTGCTACGTACTGGAGGGGAAAATGAATATGATATAAAATATGTCATCTTAAAAATATACCCTGAGATGTAGTGAAATCTGCTTTATTAAAATACCATTTGTTCAAATACTGCTTTATTAAGGGGAAGCAGATATTTGAAAGTATATAAATATTTGCCTTTGTCTTTAGTTTTGATTTCTACATGGTGCATTTGCATTCTCTGAAATAAAGAAAGCATTTGAAGTGCAATACTTCCCCAGATAGCTAAGCAGAAAAAGCTCCTTTCTGAATGAGATCTTGCACTTGTTTTCTGTGTTGTATGCACCAGTTGTGGTTTGTCATGGTGCTGAAACCAAATTGAAAGATCCTTATAGTGGGAAGGTAACAGAGTAAAAATTGCTGAGACTCTTAAAAATATTTCAGCTGTATGTTGAAATCAACATTTATGTACTGCACATTAATTGATTTTTCTGTATTGACCTTTGCTTTTATTGGAAAGCATATTGCTTCTGAAAGTAGAACTGGATTTCTTTTACTGTATGTCTCACAGCAGAACCAGTATTTCCTTTTGGTTTATAATCTATTCAGTTGAACTATCCTG